ATTTAATTATTGAAAACCCCAAGAACCAAATGTCCCAAAACGATCAAACTAATCATTGAAAATATAGAAAGACAAAGTCAAGAAAATACATTATTTATCCACTCTTCAATTAGTATAAGTAAAAACAATCCGTATTCTTCAAAAGAACTTAAATATCAGAAAATGTATGCCGTTGGCACTATACAGGTTACTTATTCATATCAACAGTAAAAGGTTCTAAAAAATATATTTCTTTGAAAAAAAAACCTTAGTATATGTAATGTAATATATGAGATTACTTAATAATTGCCCATAACGTAGTGCAGCCATAGGTTAATGAAAGTTCTTAAATCAAAGAATAATCTAATACATTTTCAATTAAGAAATTTTATTCACTGCAATGATCACCAGTGTAAATGGTTACTTTTTACTACACCAATAACTACAATGAAATATTAGAAGAGTTTCCACTAATAGACAGTGAACATTAAGCATTAGGTGGATCATAAGTAGAATATAATATAATTTTATGAACACCCACCCAAATTCACTCTCAAATAACTCATTACTTCAAGCAATTTCAACTTTAAAAAAAATAGCCATATCCCTTTTCCAAAATCTCCAAGTTTCTTATTAGAAAAAAAAGTTCCGGTTGAAACTGATCAGTGGCCAAAGCAATTGATAACCTATATATCTAATAAAGCTCAAGTTCGAGAATATTTCTGATTGCATTGTGCAATTCTGATTGCTGAAGATACTAGCTGATACTGTTAAGTTAAAACCTTGTCATTAATCACCATCGACCTATTTATTGTTGCTGCCCTGAAAATTACAATAGATATCATTCCCAACTAGTAAGAGCTTTCTTTTAAAATTAACGCGATTAAAAAATGAGTGAAGTCACGCTTTGATAGGTATAGCATCAAGTTACTTACTCATCTAATTTTTGAAGGCATAAAATTACAATTGATTCAAAAACACTTTTAATTTAACTCTCAGCTGTTGTTTACTAAATATAAGCAATGACCTCACATGTGTGAACTAGAACGATTTGTTCTTTCGCATCGCCGCTGGAAAACTAGCTTGCCAAACAAGGTGCGTAAAGAGCAGCGAAATGCGCTGATAATTTGCAAAATGGCGGTAATTTACAAAGTCGGCAAATAGCGAAACTACTTTACGAATTTTACTACTTCTGTACGAAATGTAACGCCGACATACGAGATCCTTAGTGGATACAATGGTTTCAATATTTAGGGATGCAGAATTATGGAATCGGCAGAGGCCACGCCCATTGATACGACCAATATGGCCAGGTTTGGAGATGAACCAAACATTTCGTTGAATAATGGCAACACTGCACTATTGAGAGGCCATGTTGTGGTGCACCAAAGTCAGTTAGAGGTTCTAAAGAATAGAGCCAACAGATATAAATATTATCCATAAAACTTGAAGAGCAGTTGCGGCATTAAAATGTGATTGGCTAGAAGTTACACAAAATTACATCGGAGTGGCAGGCAAGAGTTCTCTGTACCACGCGTGTTCCAAAATACACTCCAGAACCAGCCACAAATGGGGGGGGCGGCAACAAAACGTTGATTACAACTACAAGGAGAGCTTAAAAGCCTTAAAAAAATCATAATTTCATTGTTCAAGATATTCATTCCCGGTTTCTACTATTAGCATGCCCTACAGTACATATAATAAACGATTTACCTCTCCCCGCTATTGATTAGAGCATTTTTAAATTTGCTCAGACCCGATGATTTTGCCAATAAGCCCTACTGGCTCTTATTCCTGCTGTACATATTTTGAGTTGCGAGAATATGAATAATAATAAATAATAATAATAATAAATAATAATAACAAACAAACTCACAACAATCTGTGCTTCACAACAAATGATGGACACACATATAGGAAACAGAAAGCATACTTAGCAAATGAACAGAAAGGATGCTTAGACCTGGATCTCAGGGATGCAAGGAGCAACTCATTATAGACTGTATTATGGGCAAGTGCTTGAAAAACAAAGAAACTTGTACGCATGCCTACATAGATTACGCTAAAAGATTCGACACAGTGCCCCATTCTTGGCTCCTTCAATGTTTGGATGTATACAAGGACCACCCGTTTATCCAAACTTCCTGAAAACTGCCCGGATGAGTCGATGCGAATAGACAAAAACTGTATCCTCCTCTAATGGAAAACAATCCATCCACACAGATACTATACACATCCGACAGGGATTTTCCAGGGCTGAACTCTTTTAAGCCCTTTATTGTTCTGTTAGCCTGAATTCCCCTCCTCTACTCTACTTAATTCATCTAATTATGGAATTACGCTCTTAAAAAGGCGGAATTCAACTCTTCTCGTGTCCCACATCTCCGTTTCATGATACCTGAAGCTCTATGTAGACACTGAGTCATATGCAGCAACTAAAAAACTGACGAGAAGTTCACTGACGACATTAAGATGAAATTCGGTTTGGATAAGTGCAGCGAGAGTGATAGTTCATTCGGGTCATATGCAAGTTATCAATTTGGAAACTATAATGAACCAAAGATTACCTTCATGGAACCCCATCAAACCTACAAATAACTTGGCGTTTCCAACCGTGTCCCCACTATGGAATCAAACTACCACTGTTACTAAGAATATACTAACAAAATAAGGTGTAAACGATTGCATGCTGCTCTTAAAAACTCAAATCTGCTTAGGAAACCTGTTGCAGCCATTCAATTCATTTTGTTATTCCCAGTGCTGACATACTCCTTTTTGCCGTTATTAAATGGAGCAATACCGACCTCGACAACCCTCAGAGAACAATTCGAACCGCTATGTCTCAACACGAAAAACATCATCCCATTCAAGCTACTGCAGCGTAACCCTTCCAAGGTCGTAGGAGATGGGTGGTAGTAGAGCTCATAAACTACACAGCTCCAACAATTGCTTCACTCAGAAGATACTTCTTGGAACATTGTGGCGAGCAGTTGAGCAAGCAGTGAGCGCAGTTGAATAAATAACTATTAGTCCTCTGAACTTGAAAAAGCTTGCATCCGCCTGTTCAACCAATCATTGAAACGCGAAGAGAAAAATAACCTTATGCGAATGCGAAGCACTGCCATGGAAGGTACCCTCACGAGCTGAGTAAACCAGAAGTCGACAATCTCTGCGTCGCACGCATGCTCGCAGCACGGGGATCTTCTTTCCGGAAGACAGAAAGCCTTCATGATAGCTATCCCACGACCAAGTGGTACCAAACATTGAACGTACAGAAAAAAACATAAAACGAGAGTCTACCATTCATTCCGACTCGTGTAGAAGATGTGCAGGCTGCAAGCCGAAACTATCCAACACGGGCAGAAGTGGATGTAGCAGCACATCACAGGCGGAATACGAATAAAGCAGGCATGAATGAAGTGGCGAAGCAGGTAACAACCTATTATTTGGCGTGAGAACGGGTTACTCGCCACTTCCGTGCCGTATATAAATATGGGCCTCAGAATGTGCTGAAAGTAGTGAGCACCACAACTCTACTGGGATCGTTCCATTATCACTGCACCATACATGATCGGGACAATTAAACCGATATAAGCGTACATTGATAGAAACCAACAGCAGGTTTTTCTTATCGATATATCCAAATACCCACAACAATATCGGGAAAAATATCAAGAGAAGATCCAGAAGTATACCGATTCTCGCCTATGAAGTCGCAACTCAGGTGGAACTTCAGTAAAAGTGACAGACTGTGCCGATAATTAATATCAGCTACGGGTAGTGATCCCGAAAATGACCACTTTCGGCCCACTGGAGTTGTCTTCACTTGGATACCAGAATGCTATAAATATGCCAAAAGGACAGTAATTTTGAATACATGCCGTATTGTCAGAGCCATCTAACCTTCAGTAAAAGCAAACCACACAACCTGCGGTCATATACCTGTGTGGGTTGACATTACCGACCAGTAGATACTGCTTGAATAATGTAAGACAATATAATAATAATAATAATAATAAAATAATAATACAATAATAATAGAAGCTTGCTCCGAGCACAAGTGTTGCGTCAAGCCATCGCTCGCGCCGAGGACGCTGCAGCGTTTGAGTCCTACATTAGGCATGGTTGAATTTAGATTGCTCCCTTCATCCATCATTATTTTATCACCTCATTACAGTTCAAGGCTTTAACAACCTTGTCTTATCAAGGGATACAGCCATAGAATTCTGATCCCATAATTACACACATTCATTTCTCAGAGCCTCGCGAAGATAACGGTAGCGTGTTTTTAAATGGCCTAGTATATTTTATTATTATTATTATTATTATTATTATTATTATTACCATCATGCCATAAGAAAACAATATAGTAAAGGAAGCCGTTAAATTATCAAAAGTACCTCAAAACTAAAGAGTATATTTAAAAAAATATTAATGTAATATCTTAAGTGACATTCTTGCTGCAGTTTATTGAAAGCTTAGTTAAATAATCATCTCACAGCATAAACCAAACAATTAGTAGAAGTGCTACAAAAAGACCAGATTTTAAAGAACCTGCACTTACAGAAGAACATTCGCTACTTTTTTAAGTATTAGTATTCACGTAATCTAGTGTGATGTGTCAAGCTAGCGTAACCTATTGTTTTGAAAAATTCCTATGTTTGCGTCTGAAAACACACACCACACACGACGCGCGCGCGCGCGTCCTGAGACTCGTGTCATAACTTATCGTTAAAACAATTAACGACTAAAGAAAAACCCGCTATCCGGAATTACCCAAACCATTTTATGCCGGATATAAGCGGATCAAAGGAGGAGGAGGTGGCAGGGCAGTCATGCTCCCTGTAAATAATACACATGCGACAACTGCTTATTATTTGACTGAATATCGAAGTCTCA